CAAAACAAGACAAAACATTTTTTTTTTAATTTTAATTTTCAAAGAAATTTTAATAAAAATAAGTCTTATAAACTATTTAAACTTGTATTAAATATTATTGGTAATACTTAAACTAGAAATGTATTATATATATAGCCAACCTTCTTTTACAAGAGTTAAAAATTTTTTTTTCATTGGCTTATTTATTGAATCTTTCTAAATAGAAATTAACAATTATTGAGCTATTGATGCTATTGATGCTATTGAGCTAGAGAATTCATATTTATCAATTATTTTCTTTAAAGTCAGTTTCGTGCAGTTGCAGAAGATAAATGTCGAGCTTGAACATTTGGATCCGACTTGAGTCTCCCTAGGCATTAAGGTGTATATTGGCAAATTAATTCTTCAACAGTTCGTAGATTTAGATCTTTGCGTAGATTTTTGTTTTTTACATACCACGGAGCACATGTTATTTGTCGGAGAATTTTATTTTGCACTTTCTGATTGTTTTCTATGTTTGTATGACACGCTGAACACCATAGTTCTATACCATGTACCTTTAATATTTATTTGTAAAATTTTTTTGATTAAATATATATACATTCATTTGTTATATCTTCTTTTACAATTATCACTAATTATATAATATTACCATTTTTGTTTCAACTATACATTGTATAATATAATATAAAATAAGTGAACTTTATATTACGGACCTTACTTAAATCAATAAGTTAAGTTTCATTGGAATGAATGTTAACTGATGTATTAAGAAAACAATTGAGCATTATCGGAATTTTTTTAAGCGGCATGTAGTAGATAGAAATGCGAGATTCCTAGCTAAGGGGTTAACATGTATTTAAGGGGTTATTGTATTTTTTTCTTATATTGTCATTTTTATCTTTAACTTAGAGAATTTCTCGATTTCGATAGATGCTTTCATTTCGAATATACCATGGGACATCAGTGATTGTTCTCAGTATTTTTGGCAGAGCTCTATGGATAATTTCAAAATTTGAAACACTAGCATTACCTTAAAGCTGAAGACTGTAAGCTCATATTGGTTTCAGGATGGTATTATATAAAAGAACTTTATACTCCAAGCACAGGGAGGATCTGTTATTAATGAGCCAATGCAATTGAGAGGTTTAGAGCTTCATTTGTATTTTTTTGGGTTCAATGTGTTTAGTAGCCTGTCTAAGTAAATACCTAAGTACGTTATATTATCTGCCTGTGGTATGGGAATGTTATTTAGTAAAATAGTTGGAGATATACTCCGATTAATGGTAAAAATGACGTGTGTACAATTTAGTTCATTAATTTTAATTCACTAATTTGACAACCATTTCTTTAAACAACACAAGCGCGATTGAAGTTGGTTTTAAGCTAACACAACGTTTTTATTTCGGCAGTCGTCAAAATTTCAGTACCATCGGCAAACGTTGTCATGATAACTGAATTACTTTTTCGAATATCTAATGTGTAAAGTACATACAAGATAAGGCTATGGGAATGGTTAATATTTTTTTTTAAAGCATCTGTTCTGTTAATATGATTCTAAAACTGAGTGAACGTTTGCAGGGACTAGATAGTGTATCTTGTAACATATATGAGCCCATCATGTCATACTTTGTCAAATGTTTGTTTTACATCGAGAAATATAGGCTTATTGGCTAATATGAGAAGGTACGAGTGGGATCTTTGACTGATTTATGAACCATAATAATCATGGATGTTTTCCACTCTGTTGGGTAAGAACCAAATTGAATGATGGCATTAAAAAGTCTTGTGATAAAATTAATGGCCAAAATAGGATTGAGTTTAAAACCGGAATTGCGTCCTTAATATCAGACTAGCACTTTATTCTTTAATTTTGTGTAAATGCGTGAACTAATGAACTATTTATATTTGATCCATTATGTGTAAATTAACAATTAATTACCTAGACTGAGTTTAGAGTTGTGATTTAGTATCAATACAATTCTTTATATTTAATATTTAATTTATATCTTTTAGTTTCAATATGACGTGTCCACGTGAACATTCTATCTAGATGTATTCCCAGATATTTCACAGAATGTGAAATATTTCCTTAAAGTTAAAGTTAAATGATTTTTCACGTCAGCTGAAATAGATGTGTTAGGCAGGAAATTATTGATTTGGAGATTTGCCTGAAAAACATTCCGCAGGTTTAAGACCAGAGTAGTTGCTTTGATAATTTTCTCTGGGTTTTTAGATATTTTTGTATTGTACAATACAATACAGGGTTTTAGTCACTACATTAATTTGCGTTTAGAGGTAGAAGAACGGTGTCTTTGTCAATTTCGTCTTGCATGCCACTTAGCAGAAACAAACCCATCCAAAGTTAATAGAAAGATTGGTTTTTTCATATTATCATGTTGAACAATAGAAGACTCAGCAGAAGCGTCAATTAGGGTGCAGAAATTTTAAGAAGAGTTCTTTCAACTTCTCCACCAAAGTTGCGTTAGTTAACAAATGATTTAGTATTGTAGTTTTGACCTTCGAAAATGTTTGTTATTTTTAAGATCACCGGGGAATGGGCTGAAGATAAATCATACGACGGATCAACGGAGATATGTTCCTTATTTAAACCCTTAATAACACCGAAATCGATCAAGTTAGAAGTTGAAGTGAGTAGACCACTACTCCAACGCTAAGTCCCTTTTAGAAGCCCATAGTGTTTCGACGCTAAGGCTAAATAAATCCGTAGAACGTATTGAGTAGATTTTATAACGCCTTTGATGTTTTGACGTCTTTGGCTAAAAACTAATTGAGTAGAATTGGAAAAATACCTTTGATGTTCTGACGTCTTTGGATAAAACTTATTGAGTAGATTTTATAACGCCTTTGATGTTTTGACGTCTTTGGCTAAAAACTAATTGAGTAGATTTGGAAAAAAAACTTTGATGTTCTGACGTCTTTGGATAGAACTTATTGAGTAGAATCAAGCTTAAAATAAATTATTTAAGAAAACTTTTTAATAAATAAATTTTAAAATAACAATCAAACAGCTTTTAATTTTCCTTGGTTTACCAGCTTCGAACTGGTCAATAAAACAAATTTATTGCAACGACCCGGACCACGACTGAGTAATACCTCAGCAAAATAAAACGACGAATCCGTGTCGTTACAACTGGTATCGGTTGACCAATATGTGGGATCTCCAGATGATATGACTTCGAGTCCCTTAACACTTCGTTTAATAATGTGTGTGACTGACACATAGATGGCGGCACTAATACTAAATGAATATTTTTTTTCGAAAGTGGCAACCTTTTTAGGCTTATTGTCAAAATCATATGTTAATCCGACCATTTATTTACAACCTACAGTGCTTTAAGTGACGCTACTTTTGAGTTTTCACAAAAAAAAATGAATTCAAAGCAATTCCGTATGCTGATTTATCATTGTTTTTTAATGAAAAAATATACTGTTCAATGCCAGGAATGGCTTGAAAAACATTATTCGGACTCTGCTCCATCAAAAAGAAGCATTTGTTATTGGTATACCGAATTCAAACGTGGTCATACAGACACCGATGACATTCCATCTA